GGTCATATTTCCATCGAAAGATGAGGCTAAAAGGCCCATTTGGATTGAATCTCTGTTTTTTCCATAACCCTAACCCTAACCCTAACCCTAACTTGGATTGACACTTAATCGAGTTCTTTCCTGAAAACTGCCTGCTGGATTTCTTCTAAATTTCCTGGAAGATCCCAAAGTTACGTGTCTACATTGGCCATTCTTTTGACCTGTAATGATATTCATTAGGTTCATTTTCTACCTTTATAACTGATGAATTGATAAAGAAAAAAGGTCAATCCTCATGGGAAAATTACTAAATCTGAGGATATTATTAAAAATCACATGAAAATCAAGTATTGTATAAGCTATTATTTAACCCTACACAGTGGGTTAACTACATGGACCTACATGAACCAGAAAGCATAGGTGGCTGGGTGCCAGGTATAAAAGGAATGATATTCCTCATCTGGAGTTGTTGGTCATGAATGCCCCAGAACCACCCCTAAACAATATAGGTTATTGACTTTGTTCTCTTTTGCCCACCAGAACTTAATGGTAATATCCTGAACACACCACACATTTTCTATTCCAAGACATGGAGATTGGTGCTGATCATGTAACTTCCTCCCTGCTGGATAACTTTTGTACTACCAGAAGGTGCTATGTGGGCTGCTGTGGGTATGGATGGAAGGATCATCAGTCATTGTACCTAACTAAGAATATTGCATACTATATTAATGAACAAACTAGAAAGATATGTCCCTGAATGCAATAGTGGCACAAACTTTCTGGGAATACTCAGCTCCTTAAGAGTGAATTTAAAGGCTACTCTATAGAAAGCAACACATGCCTGCTGCTGTAAGCTTTGTCGAGAACACATGGTTACAGAGTTCCAAGACCCCAGTATTGAACCTAATACTATTATTTTGTTAAATGAATGAAGTATCAAGCTGCACTCTAAATTTATCCCTCAATAACTACAGATTAGGGCAGTTCTCAGACCTCCTCGGAGACCTTTTTGCAGTAGATTGTGGTTGACAAGGACCTTTAAAACTGGTCATCCTGGAAAAAAATAAGGGTGTGTGGATGGGGATATTTGCAGCCCTCTTCTCACAACCCTGGTACCATTGCAGGGAGCATTTAAAAAGATTTTATGACTCTGAAGGTGCAGATGACAAGAGTGAAATCGGGCTCTCAAGACATGACAGAGTCATTGCTCTCACAAATTCCCAGCCGTCGTGGTTGCATGCAGAAGGCCTGTGTAAGATTATGGCAGGTCATATTCCAGTATACTTGGTGACTAAGCATTCAAATATATGCCAGTATGGTTTTCATTCACATTAACTGTCAGACTTTTCTAGAAGCCACCAACTGTCAGGAGTTTGCCAGTTAGATTTCGGAGCCCTCCCACAGTTCATCCTTGAATATGGGGGGGCGTTCAGGAGTCTGTACCTCTAACTGACAAACTACTGACAGTTGGTGGCTTATAGAGAAGTGTGACAGTTAATGTGAATGAAAACCAAACTCTCATGTACTTGAACACTTAGTCACCAAGGAATGCAACTGTTTGGGAAAGATTAGGAGGAGGGACCTTGTTAGAGTAAATATGCCCTTGGTGGATGAAATATGTCACTGAGGGTAAGTTTTGAGGTTTACATTCCCACATCAGGCCCCATCTTTCTCTCTACCCACTTCTGATGGATCAGTATGTAAGCACTCAACAACTGGCCCAGTGCCATGCCTGCCTGAATCCTGCCATGATGATCATAAATTAATTTCTTAAAATTATAGGCAAGCACCCAATTGACTAGCGATAAAAAGGTCCAGAGACTCTTTCAAGTCTCTGACTTGCATCTTGAAGTCCTGAAGTGAGATTACAGTTTAGCTAGAGGGCCAGGAATGTTGACATATAAGCAGTTGTGGTCAAGAGGTGGCATCTTAGCTCACCCATCATTGTCTAATCTTAATAGTCTTATCTGGCAAGGTGGTTGGATAGTAAGAATTGTGTGAAATCACTTTAAGGAGACAAGGTTTTCCTCTGGCTAGAGAGCATTGCTTTACCTGGCATGAGATTTCTGTGGAAATATCCATTACGTTGAAGTCTATTATTTCACTATTCTGAAAACATCAAACTACACAAGTGTCTCATTAGTATATCCTCATTTCTGCTAGGCCTGTTATGGAAGCTGCCCACTCTGAAAGCCCTACTAAACCCCAAATTTCTTAGAAAGGTTAACCAAGGTTAAAGCTGTCACTTCCAATTACCATTGCTTTCTCCGAGATGTGATTAGTATATTCTAGTATGCTGAGTGTTTGGTGCTTCTGGGAAGATTTCCTTACTTACATTTTATGGTGAGGTATAAAACCAACACTCAAAAACAGTTGCCTAACAGGTAATGAATGAGTGTATCTTCTATTTGTGGGGATAACTGTTACTCACACACATCTCCTTAGATAGGTTGAGACAATTCATACTGTTAAGTTTTGCCCTGTTCTTGCAAAATACATAGATCATGGAGCACATTCTTCTTTGTCCTTATCTATGAGATAAGGTAAGAGGAACAATTCAGATTCAGTGCTCCATACATTACATCTATGTGTCTTACAGTGCATATGTGGTATGACCCTGAAGTCTGTGAGATCCAAAATCCCTTCTTTGTTGTATGTTTACCCAAATTCCCTTATTTTTTATATATCACACCAAATTCCTTGTCTAGCCTCTATCCCTATAGTATACAATACGTCAGCTTTTCCATATTCAACCCCAAAGATCCTTCCTAAGTCTCTTCATATACCCAACTGAGTCAATTTTCTAGGCCTCAACTATTTGAGACCAAGGTGTGTTTCTTATCATACACCCAATCAAAGTCCATCTTTAAAGTATACTGAAAGTTGCCTATCTGACACAAAACATTGGGAAACCAAAATCTCTCCCATATCATATACCAACCCAAAGTCTCTCTCTCTCTTTACATACACCCACTGTTTCTGCCCTCATCCTTATGAGACCATATCCCTCCTTTGTCTTCTGCCCACCGAAACTCCCTCTCTTGCCACAAAGCCAACATTTCTTCCCTAAAACCTTATAAGACACAAATCCTTCCCCTGTCATTCACCCAACCGAACTCCCTCTCTTGCAATATACCCAATATTTCTGGACCCATCCTTCCAAGACCCTCATTCCCCCCTTCCCATATACCAACCCTAACTCCATCTCTTATAATATGCCCACCATTTCTGCCCCCAAACATGTGAGACCTAAACATATCACTTTTCATATGCATACCAAAAACATCCTCTCTTGTTTTATACCCATTCAAACTCTGTTTCTTGGAATATACCAATCATATGACTCCACACCTTGAGGTATATGAAATACCCCCGGTCACACACTAACACAAACTCCCTCTCTTGGCATATAAACATCATTTTGCCACCTGCTTTGTGAGATCCGAAACCCTCCATTGTCATGCAAACTCTTTCTCTTGCTACATACTCACCACTGCTGCCCCCAAAGTGTGTAAGACCCAAATACCTCCCTTGTCATATGCCCAGCAAAGCTACCTCTGTTGCTATATACCCACCATTTCTGACCCCATCTTTCTGAGACCCTAATCCCACCCTTGTCACATAATAACCCAAACACCTCTCTTGCCATATACTCATGATATCTGCCCCCTGAGTGTTTAAGAATCAAATACTTCTCTTATCATCTACCCACCCAAATCTCTCTTACCATTGACCCATCATTACTCTCCCCATAGTATGTGAGACCCAAATCCCTTCCTTGTCATATACCCATCCAAACTCCCTGTCTTGAAATGTACCCACCATATCTGCCCAAACCTTGATCCACAAATCTCTGCCTTATCCTCTACCTAACCAAACCTTTCTTGCCATTTGATCACCGCAACTTTCTCCAAAGAATGTGCTACCCAAATCCCTTCCTTTTAATCTAACCATATTCCCTCTCTTGCCATATACCTGCCATTTCAGTCCCCATCTTTATGAGACCCTAATCTCTCTCTTGCCATATGTCCACCATTACTCCCTGCAGAGTGTCTGAGATCAAAATCCCTCCCACGTCTTTTACCCTCCCAAATTCTCTCTCTTGCCATATACCCACCATTTCTGTCCCCAAAGTATGTAAGAATCATTTCCCTCCCTTTTCATCTAACCTATCTTGCCATATACCCACCATTAATCCCCCAAAGTATATGAGACTCAAACTCCCTTTTGTCTTCTACCCACCCAAGCTCCCTCTCTTGCCATACACCTGCCATTACTGCCTAAGCCTTGTGAGAACCAAATCTCTCACTTGTCAGCTACTCACCCAAGCTCCTTTTCTTGCCATATACTCATTTCTGTTACCAAAGTATATGAGAATCATACCCCTCCCTTGTCATCTAACCCCTCTTGCTATATACCCACCATTAATCCCTCGAAAGTGTGAGAGACTCAATCCCTCCCTTGTCATTACCCACCCAAACTCCTTCATTCCATGCACCCAGCATTACTGCCCCAAACCTTGTGAGACCCAAATTCTTCCCTTGAATTCTACCCACCCAAACTCCCTCTATTTCCAAGCACCCACCATTGCTGCCCCAAACCTTGTGAGACCCAAATGCCTCCCTTGTCTTCGACCAAGCCAAACTCCTTCTCTTTCAATGCACCCAGCATCAATGCCCAAAACCTTCTGAGGCCCAAATCCCTCACTTGTTCTACCCACCCAAACTCCCTCTCTTTCCATGCACCCACCATTATTGCCCCCAACCTTATGGAACCCAAATCCCTCTCTTGTCTTCTACCCACCCAAACTCCCTCTCTTTCCAAGTAGCCACCATTACTACCTCAAACCTAGTGAGAAAAAATGTCTCCATTGCCATTCACCCACCCATATTCCCTCCCTTCCTCTACACCCATCATTGTTTCTCCCCTTTCCTGCTTTCACCGAAAGTCACTCACAAGGACATATAATTTGTCAATTAAATTGAATTTATTTTTAATTTAATAAATTTATATCAATGCAATTTCAATTTTATTTAATCATAGATTTGGGGATTCCCCATCTTCGAGATAGCCATCTTATTGGCTTCCCCCCTCATCAGCAGCTGCAGCTACGGGTTCACTTGGTTCTTCGGTCGCCTGCTCCTCGGCTGGCTTTTCGGTCGCCTGCTCCTCGGCTGGCTTTTCCGGTTGCTCCGCCAGAGGTTGAGGCATTTCGGTCACCAGTGACTCTTTGATTTTCTTTGGCTCGGGTGCTGCCGCCTCATCGCCATCCCTCTTTCTGATGGTCTTTTTCGTGGCGCGCTTTCCCCGCTTGCTTGTCTTCAATCCCTGGAATGGCAAAAGGAGAACACAAGAATTAGTTAATATAGGGAGAGGTCAGGATAAGCATGTGAAAGATACTTGGTCAGAAAAGGTGAGGATT